CTCCCTCTTCCTAGCATCTGCCGCCTCCTTCTGGGTGGCCTGCCGGGCCACACCCTCCGGTCCCTTAGGAAGGTGCGGCCGGGACTTGTACCTTTCAAGCCCCTACGGAACGGATTGCTCAAAATCAAGAAATAGGAAAAGCAGAGAAAGGGGCACGAACGAGAAAGAAGGGATCATACCAGTTTGGACACGACCGAGGCATTTCACGGAATGGGTTTCCCCACAACCATATCCTTGGGCCTCAGCTACAGCACCTGGCCAAGGCGACTCCAGACCTCATCGTTTGGCAGGTCCTCCGGCGACGCACGGTCCAGGTCCAACCGGCCACCGTACATCCACATCGGCCGCGTCCTCTCCGCCAATGGCACAACCCGGCGGCGGAATAGGGTGTGGAACACCCGCACCACGTCAAGGTCGTGCCTTACGAGCTTCCACAGCTCCTCCTCGATGGCCTGCACCTTGTGCCTCTCCGTGCGGGCGCAACCCCACGACCAACTTTTCTGCTTCTTCGGCCTCCCACCAGTGAACGCCAGAAACGGCGCCTCCGCCGGATTCCTGATGTAAAACCACTCCCCATGCCACCCCCGGTTGGAGTCACAAGGGGTGTACGCGGGGTACGAATCTCCCACGCTTGGCTTCCTCTGCAGGGCGAAACCTCCCACCGGCGCGGTCTCGGCCGAACTCCCTACCGTCATGGTCCTCCCAGAGAACAGCCGCCGGAAGAAATCTACGTGCGGCTCCATCCCAAGGAAAGCCTCGCAGACGGTGACAAAGCCGGCGATATGCGGCACCCCCGTCGGATTAAGGTGATGTAGCTCTAGACCCCACTCGTTAAGGAGCCCGCATAGGAACCAGTGCACAGGGTATCCTAATCCGCGCTCATGGAAGGTAAGGAAAGAAACCACCTCGTCGGGGTGAGGTTGTGGGAACTCCTCCCTCCCAGGGACCCTCCAGTGCGCCACCTCCTACGGCGACAGAAACCCCTTCTTGACGAAGGCCTCCAGCACCGACTTCCTCATGTTGGACGACCTCTAGTCTGACATTTCGCTCTGGATGGCAAAAGGATCGGTGAGTTTCTCCTCTCCTCCCTCACTCTCTTCCCTTTCTTTCCTAGAAATCACCGCGGCTCTCGGGAACGCTCACGGCAAGAAGGAGAAGGGAAGGCGGTGGCAGAGGAGGAACAGGCAAAAGAATGGGACGAAAACCCTTTCACTTCTCCTACTTAAGGAAAAGGAAACAACAGTTAGGGAAGGACGCGCCAATTGGGGAAGGCAGAGCGGCGGAGCGAGAAAACCTCTCTCTTTTCCATTTAATGCAGATAAGACGTGCCCTGATCGATGAGACGTGCTCTGCCCGACGGAACGGCTCCTGATCAGAAGGGACGTGGCCTAGCCATGGCCCACCACTACTGCACGATCAACCACCACCACACGACGGGCATAGGAACCAAAGCGCCACCGCACGCGGGCGGCTCCCCGCTTCCCCAGGACAGACCTGGGGAGACCAAAAATGAAATCTCTGCCGGGAGACCAACCGGCCCCCTGAGTCAATCGAATCGCTCAGTATCCACACCGAGACACAGGTAGAAAGCGAAGGGACGCCCCATGTAGGCCATGCCGACTCCGTCACGAACGACGAGCATGGGTCCCGGTCGGACGTTTCCGACTGAAGCTCTCCGAGCCCCGTCACTCCAGTCGTCAAGGTAAACACTATCAAACCCCCTCTATTTCATTATAATCATTTCATACATCCATACGCGCATTCTTTCCATACGCCCGCGCCTCCCGGACGATTCGGGCCCTGAACCTCCCGGGGGCTCGGGAACTAAGCATCGCGCGTGCAGCGAAATGCATTAGAACGCTCCGTGTTGCGTCACGAAGCGGCGGTTGCCTCATTCGACATGAGCAACCAACAGAGCCAGGGGAGAAAATCGTATATGAGCACCGTGCGGCCCTCGTCCGGTCTGGCAGACCAGGTCATCTCAACCTTCTCGTTCGATCCTGAACCTCTCACCAGGCCCACAGAATCTCCATCGAGGGGAGGCCGTTAGGCCACCCGGGTCAGTCTCCGGAACGACCTAGGCATCTACCGGGTTGAAGGTAAAAGAGTAGTGGAATGTCACAAGAGGGCTATGCCGACCCCGTCACGAACGACGGACCCAGATTCCGCTCGATCACACCCGTTAGCGAACTCACCGAGCTAGTCTTCAAGCCCGAGCGATCGGGACAAGCGACAAAACTCAGCCCCTCCGGTTGTGAGGAACCGAGGATGGGGTAACGCACACAACTCACATCGACCCCCACGAAGGCCCGACAGGGCTCGAGGGCTCAAGACAAACGCCAAGGACAGCGACCCCGAACTCTCCAGATCCACGACCCCGACTTGCCCGGTCCCGCGGCGTGCACCGACGCCAGGATCCACGAGCACCGCCTCGTCCGATCTTTAACCAACTAACTACACTTCAGCTCCATCCGGCTACACTTTCGACTGCACTCCAGACTCCTGGGACCGCGACCCCGAACTCGCGTCAAACGGCTTCACTCGCCTCCTCAGGATCCACGAGCTCCGGCTCGACCGATTCCTAAAACTAACTAAACTAACTCTCTCGATCCACGACGCGCACCGACGCCTGGGTCCGCTCGCGACTCCACCTCGCCCGATGCCACGGCACGCATCGACGCCAAAGATCAGTGAGCTCTGTCGCATCCGAACTAAGCTGTCTCCATCCGCGGCGCGCACCGACGCCAGGGTTTGTCCCAAACTAACTCCCTCACCCGATCCCACGGCGCGCATCGACGCCCGGATCAGTAAGCTCTCTCACGTCCGAACTAACTTTCTCACCTGATCCACGACGTGCATCGACGCCGGGATCAATAAGTTCTGTCTCAATCCAATCCCCGTGCCCAAAAATGCCTCGGTTGCACAATGATGCCTTGGTTAAACAAAAATCCATCTCAGAATAAAAACATGCACACACGCCCACTAAAACGACACCCCCAGACGGTTCTGCCCGAACCGCCCAGGGGCTACACCCGCGGGTGCGCTCGCGCGCACCCGCCGAACAACAGAAAAACCTCCCCGCTGACAACACAGAAAACCCCCCAGCCGGTTCTGCCCTAACCACCCGGGGGCTCGGGGGCTACACCCGCGGGTGCGCTCACGCGCACCCGCCGGCAAGACAAAAATCCCCCGGACGATTCTGCCCGAATCGCCTAGGGGCTCGGGGGCTCCTGTCGGGTTCATAAACCCGGGGTCCCTCGGGGACCGGCTTCCAAGCCAAGGCTCGACCCGAGAGTCTAAAAACAACAAGGCAAAGGGGTGGTCCAGCAACCGACCGGAAGGCCTGGCCCAAGAAGAGCAACGCCCGCTCGTCAGCTACTTCGGCCCACCTATCCGACCAGAGCGCTCGATTTGGGCTCCAGCCGCCTCCGGACGGCCTCTCCGATCAGAAGGCCTGCCTCGAGCCCTACTTCCGACTCCGACCCCGCGTCTCTCCGACCGGGGTACGTAAGAACCCTGCTCGCCGCTCTTTTCCGACCGGCGCAACCGAAGCCGACTGGGGCCATCCGACCAGGGACGCCCGCTCGGAAGGGACTAGGGACGAACGGAGAAAGCAGCACGCGAGTCAAACCACGGTATAGGGACCATACCCTGTACACCTGCGGGAACAGTGTTCCACAACCACCCTAACACAAACAGTATTGTAGGCACCGACATTTATCCGTACAGTATTGTAGGCGTCGTTGGACTCCCGTACGGCAAAAGGCCCCTCACATGCATCTGGGCATCAATAGTGTTGTAGGCGCTGGGATTCACCATACCCGATAAACGTGGTGAGACTCCTCACATGCCTCTAGGCATCCGGCAATATTTTGTAGGTACCGACGTCAACCCTTCCTGAAGAAGACAACGCAACCTCCCACGTGCACCTGACATTCTACAGTGACATCAACAGTGTTGTGGGCGCCTACCATTATCCAATCCTCATCGGCGTTGGCAACAAGGCTTAAAAGCGTTCGTACCCTCTCCCTCTCACCTGTAAAGCCATCCCCTTCATCTATAAAAGGGGATGCACTCCCTCCAACAGGAGGACGGATTGATTCAAGCTCAGTTCCTTTAGATTCATTAGTCCAATAGCTCACAACCACAGAACCGCCAGGTTCGGACCCTAAGCACACGCTTGAACACTTAGCTCATAGCGGAGTTCTCGTCGCTCTCGGCCCTTTCGATCGGAGCCGACCGGACGTCTAGTAACCCCCATCTTTCTCTTTCTCGTTTGTAACCCCACCGCAGACTTCGAGCACTTGGGCTCAGGAATAAAGTCACCGACCGACTCAAACTGGACGTAGGGCACGTTGCCTGAACCAGTATAAATCATGTGTCATTGAGTGCTAGGCCACCTCCGATCACAACGTACAGCAAAACTATAAATATTCACTAGTTGATCACTCTCTATACCGACAATAGTATTAATATGTATCATATAGAAGATAAATTGTGAAAAAAATACATCTCATAATAATGTATCTAACTATATGCTCATTTGATATCATAAATACTATTGTTCTTCTTTTCTATAAACTTGATTAAAATTAGAATAATTTGACTTTGAACAAATTTAGAATTATTTATCGTTCTTCTTTTCTATAAACTTGATTAAAATTAGAATAATTTGACTTTGAACAAATTCAGAATTATTTATCGTTCTTCTTTTCTATAAACTTGATTAAAATTAGAATAATTTGACTTTGAACAAATTCAGAATTATTTATCGTTCTTCTTTTCTATAAACTTGATTAACTCAGAATAATGTTAGGGTTAGTTATTCTCGCCTAATACTTGCAATGCCATATTTTCTTCTGGCATGACATGCCATGAGCCATCGACCTATCTATCTATATATACCTCCGTTGTCGGATCCCTTTGCTTTGACGTACTAGGTCTAGCCACAAAAGGCTGCGCGCCATTATTGCCGTTGCTCTAGCTTGGTTCTTTGGTGCATGGCTGGCGCCGGTGGAGGAGGCGGAGACGCCGGCGATGACGTCTACAGCGACTTCATGCTGCTGCGGCCGGACAAAAGCGGGCTCTACGCCCTCTTCCACCTCATGTGGTCGTGCAAGGTGTCCGAGAACGCGGCCGTGGACTGCCCCGCCGGCACGGAGATGTCCGACTGGCGTAGGCGGTGGGCGGTGCTCGTCTCGCTCGTGGCGCAGGTGCTGATGCTGTGGGCGAAGAAGCCGATGGCCCTGATTGGGAGAGTGACGGAGTACTGGATGAACCTCGTCAACGAGAATGGCGGCGGCGTCCTCGTGCTCGTCCTCAGAGCGCTGCAAGGTACTTACTTGCACTCGTATCACACCGTAGCTAAACGCCTGAACCCATCCAGCACTCTCATGAGTCATGTCTCAACTCTCAAGTTTGGGGAACAGGAGAATTCATCTCCAATTCTGCTATAGACGCCCTAAAGTACAACACATTACACATCTGCACAGCCGTGTGGCAACTTACATAGTTGAAATCACTTGATAAGGGCGCACTTAATTCAGGTCTTAGATTATCCCCTATCAGTTCATGGACTTACCTGTTTCGTTGACATAGATATGAAGGTCGTACTGCTACTACCGATGGTACAATCAACACAATTGCATTTATGGTCCTATAGGTTCCACCTACCTAAAGGAATTCTTCTATTCCTTTCTGATCACACGCATGAACATTCGTCTTCATAATGTGAAGAGTTGTAGTGTTGTACTAACTTGACAGCTTTTGTATATTCATATCTTGCAATTTTAAGAAGGGATCGGAACATGTATCAATCCAAGTTACTCATCTCAGTGGATCTGTAACTTTTACGCTAACTTCAGCGTTTCAGGAAACCTGGTCCTTTTAATAATCACTAGTTTTTCGGGCGCGTCCATGCGCGCGGTCCACTGGCCACACGTATTTTTTGCAGAAAAAAAAAGATATAATCAAAGTTGGGCTGTATTTTGATTTGAGAAAAATCTGAGGATGTTTTCGCAAAAAACGGTGAGAGTGTCTGGGGAGCGCGAGTTGATTTTCGATAAAGTGGAGGTCTTTTTTGCAAACAAACCAGTGCCCATCCGGTCTGGACTGAGCGTTGATTTGGAAATAATACGAGGCGTTTTTTGTAAAAAATTCTGAGAGGACGTCTGGAGCGCGGGTTGATTTCCGAAAACTTAAAGGGGTTTTTCGTAAAACGGCCACGGCTCGCCCGATCTGGGCCGTCCGCGCGGCCGATCGAACGGCCGCGAAAAGCCGGCGACGTGGCCACCCTGAGGCCGCGCCGTGGCCACACCAAATCATATCTTAAGATCTGGATTCTATAGTAGCGGAAGAAAGCACTCTGTCTAATCTCTCTCGTTGCTGAATACTACTACGTCAGGTTTTTAGGTTTGATAATATTTGGGGATTAGGAAGGGGCAGACAACCCAAGTTCAAAAGCTCACATGAATTTCACTTTACAGACAGGTATTCAGCCTGTTCGGCTGGAGCTGAAACGATTGTATACGATCGTGGATTATTACTGCTAGCTGGTTTGGTGTGAGAGAAAAATATTGTTCTGACTGGAAATTTACGATCGTTTACGACCAAGCAAACAGGCCGATTATGTAAAGTAATCTGCTGCTCTCTCTCTCTATAGCCATGGCAGGGGCAGGCGCCGAAAGGCTCCCCTGCCGCACTGTAGCCACAGCAAGGGCAGGCGCTAAAGTCATAGTCACTGTAGCAGCATGGTAGCCTGGCACGTCTGTGTACTAGGATTAGATGGGTAAAGTTGTATATATATCTTCCCACTGCAACTCAATGAAGTGAGTTCAGTTTGCCACATCCAGAAACAGAGCTTTCGGCCAGCGCTGGGCTTGTGCTGTGTGTGTGAGTTGTTCTCAATATTTTCTTCTACCTCTAGCCATAGTGAATGAGTGTGCTGATAAGCTTACTGCTTACCTGTGTAAGGCAGCCGAGGGACCAGCAGATTCAAATGCATGTTTCCATACTTAGCACAAAATTTTATATGTTTCCCTTGCCCATCAGTGCGTTAAGTAACTAAGTTGAATGCTTTCATTTGCTTGCTGCCAAGGACAAGTGCTAATCAGTTCACTATCTGAGAGAACAAATTAACAATTTCCCTAATATCATATATAGAGTTGCGTGTTAATGTGTTATAAAATCTTTGGTCAGATATAGGCTTGCCATGTCCTTATCTATGTCTAGATTGAGACCTGAAGACTTCTCATAGATTATTCTGAACATGCTAGCTGCTCATCTTATCCTCTTCTGCATTTATTTTCCTATTATATACCAATTACCAAAACATAGTCTTCAAGTGTATGTGAATTGTCCCCTTTTCCCACCAGTTTAGACTCCGGAGGCCAACTGAGCAGAGCAAAGAACTCAATAAGAATCTATCTATTACTGATAATGCAATGGCAATACTCCCTTAGTCCCTTTGCATGAAATAGTCCCTTTCCATCAGTTCTGACTACGATGTGTAACCTTTGCAGGAAAGCTGAAATTTCCAGACAGGGCATCCCCCAACTACCGATCCTGCGTAGGACTACTCGACATGAGAGTCGAACTAGACAAGGAAATTAAGCGTGGGGATAACAACTACCACGCTGCTCTATCGATCATGGCTGCAAAGTTAGCATACGAGAATGAGCTCGTCATCAGAAATGTCGTCGAGAAACATTGGCAGGTCAAACCTCAATTCATCGCCTTTGAATCCAAAGTCCTACAGATCAAAGAGAAGAAGTTTTCTGACCAAGTTTTATTTTTTTGTGTTTCTTCAGATGAAATTATTGGCATGCTACAACTGCTGGAATGGTAACCATGAATCAACAACACCAGTGTCTAGTAGCAAAACGCATGCATGCATGTCAGCTTCTTAACCTCCATGCGTGTCTTTCCTCCAGATTTCCAAGAGGACTACACCACCCAGGCGTTCGTGGTCGCCGACAAGGCGCCTGACGCAAGCCTCGCCGTGGTGGCGTTCAGCGGCACGAGGCCGTTCGACATGGAGCAGTGGTGCACGGACGTGGACTTCTCGTGGTACGAGGTCCCCGGCGTGGGCAAGATCCACGGCGGCTTCATGAAGGCGCTCGGCCTGCAGAGGCACGGCGGCTGGCCGAAAGACGTCGTCGACTCGGACCCGCGGAAGCCGTTCGCGTACTACGCGATCCGCGAGGCGCTGCGGCGCTTCCTGTCCGAGAACGCCGACGCAAGGTTCGTCGTGGCGGGGCACAGCCTCGGCGGCGCGCTCGCCGTGCTGTTCCCAGCCGTCCTGGCGCTGCACCGGGAGGACGCCGTGCTGGCCCGGCTGCAGGGCGTGTACACGTTCGGCCAGCCTCGCGTCGGGGACGAGGCGTTCGGGAGGTTCATGGACGCGTGCCTCGGCAATAAGCCCAGCAGGTACTTCAGGTTCGTGTACTGCAACGACATCGTGCCGAGGGTGCCGTACGACGACTCCGCGCTTCAGTTCAAGCACTTCGGAACCTGCCTCTACTTCAACAGCCTCTACACAGGACAGGTCCGTCTAACACCGTTGTGTTTACTGGTTTGGGTTACTGGTTTTATTTATGAATCCTTCACTAACCTCCTATATGGTTGCTTATACTTGAACATAAAATTGAATTGGTTGTTACATTTTTTTCTTAAAGTATGTGTGTATATTCACATATACTTGCTACAATTAATTGACCATATAGAGAAGAATCCATACAATTGGGCAACAGAATTGTCCTTCCAAGGCAAGCAAAATGAAGCTTGGAAGCAAGAGGTTTATCATGCAATGCAAAGAAGGGAAGCTCCTTGTGGGCACCATACATCCATGATTCCTGCAAGACTCCAAACCTAGATACCCCACCCTAGTAGTAGTAGTGAGAACTGAGAAGAGAGTAGGCACTAGAATCCAGGAATGCTAGTGGTGTAAGGCAACTGAACTGACTACGCCTTTGTGCGGTTGTGCCGTTGAATTGGGAAGCAGGTGATGCAAGAGGAGCCAAACAAGAACTACATCTCGGTGCTGACGGTGGCGCCAAAGGTAGTGAACGCGGCGTGGGAGCTCATCCGGAGCTTCCTCATCGGCTACGTCGCCGGGCCGGAGTACGCAGAGGGGTGGCTGATGCGGCTCGCCAGAGTCGCCGGGCTCGTGCTGCCGGGGCTCCCCCCGCACTCGCCGCGAGATTACGTTAACTCCACCAGGCTCGGAGCACGAGCAAACCGCCACAGTCACAGTACAGGACCATTCTAGACGGCTAGAAGGAACTGAACACGGTATAGTGTAAGCTCCCTGTCGATTGAGCCAAGGATTGTGGGTGCTTACCCACCCACCTGCGTACAATGACTTCATGAAAATTGGCCCGTACTTACATAAATCGAATAAAAAGGTTTGTGTACTGGCTGTAAAATAAACCATTGGCACAAACCAAATTTTAGATGCCGTCACTCATAAGTATAGCGTTCTCGTGCAATCTTATGATGTTCTACGAGATCCTACATCATATGATTCAGACACATTCCCATGGCTTGAAAACTGCGATTTACATTCAAACGATTACATCCATCATGTGGACCACAAATCTCATGTATCCGTTCCAGTGTTTCTAAATGAACAAAAGTTATTACACCCACAGCATTACTCGAATGGAAGAACTGAATTAACAAATAATTGGTACCGTAAGCCATTTACCTCATAGCTGTCAGTCAAGGATAGGCAATTGCGATAACTGGTGCTGGTTAACCAGCAGGCTCCTCCAACATCATCAACCAGGTAAGCAAGCTATGTTTATTGCAGAAGCTGTTTGTTGCAAAAGAATGCTGCAAGCTTCAAAAATTTAACTGCAGTCGAAAATGTTCAGGGTAGAATCCTGGAGAAAAAATTCAACCACCAAGAAAATAGGAACCAGCAGAATGGCTTCTTGAAATATACTCAACAGCACAAAATCCATGCAGTAAGCCTTGTGGTGATTAACTGCACCTATAGTTTTTCTACAGGGGCATATAAGTGTATGTAGTTACCATCAACACAGCAAATAGTCTCTCTAATCTGTATGGGCAGAGAGAAATCTTCCGAGCTATTGTTGTCAAGACAGTAGCGATAACCAAGGATCTGTGTCAGCTCTAATGTTACATAAGCAGTTCTCTCAGTGCCAGGAAAGGATTTCTCCAGAGGGCAATCAATGCTCGACTCAACCGAGACCAGTCAAGATCACACACTCTACAAGTAACTGGAAGAGCAATCAGCACCTCTCCAATAAATAGTCTGCCTTCGGTCTCTTCCCCTAACCGATCTAGTAAGCATAGTTCCACTAACAGGTTTGCAAAGACCAACATCGATCACTGAAGTTACTTTTCTTTTCTCGGACTCCTCATCAAAATGCATGTCAAACAGCATAGCCAGGCACATAACTTGGTGAGTCAATATATAATCCTCATATGATGGAGGTAGGCTTCGAAGGATGTGAAGATTTACCTGCACAGCATGATAGTGAGCTTAGAAGCTACCCTCAGAAATGCACTAAATAAAACATGCTACACAATATGTTATCACAAACCTCAGCTTCCATTGCACGAAGATCATTGTGCCACTTTAAAGTTTCAGACTTTTCTGAGAGTAAACGTAATCTGAAAAGGGGAGGTCTAAGAGGATACTCCATACTTATCTTAACCTGTGATTGAAGTCACAATGTCAGAAGCAAGAGCATGGAGAGATGCATGAAGGCTTAGAACAAATAGCGATGGCATAGTTTACCTTGGCTTCCAGCATGACTTTTGGACCATTCTTCCTAGTTTTACTCAAGACCATGGTAAACTCCTTGGAAGCATAGTCCTCCCAGGATCTGTCTATAATCGGGCTAGCTTTCTCAGTTTCATCAAGAATACAGGGCTGGTCCAACTCGTTGTCACTATACATCAAGAGATCAAGATCATCCTCGTTTCTACCAAAACTTTGTGAGATGCTTAGCTTAGATGGTGTTGCACTCTTTGATATCAGGGATAAGCCTCTAGAATGGCTCCGAATCTCAGGTGACACCTCAGGGTGCAAAATTGTAGAACCATTTGGCTCATTCTCAGCAGGAATCACAACTGGAAGCTCCCCATCCTCCCTGGTACCCTCAGTTTCTTCCCAGTTTGTTACAGATCTCTCTACATCACTGTCAACATTGCTGGAAGCCCCACTTATCATCAAAATAGAACGAGACGATGGCTCAGGATAAGAACTTGTCAATGACCAACTATGTAGACTGCACAGTGGGTTGCGTGATGCCCATGGTGCATTCTTATGTTCTATTCGAGGCCACTTCAGCTTTGTCAAATAATCAAGTTGCCACCTGTAATCAAAGAGACTCGAAAACTTCAAAGGGATGCTACCAATCAAACAAGCAATGTATATAACAGTCATGAATAACATTAGAATAAAGGTCGTCAATAATTAGCTTAGAATCAATATGTAGAGAACATATGAAGCTATAAATGGGACGTTTCACAATTTCTGCCTGTTAAATGATTCATAGTATTGCCATAACTCAGAATGACATGTGCAATGAAGCAAAAGGATCAATAGCTCAAAATCGTCAGTCAAATTACACTGTCACTCCTAGGCTAATCTACCATCCAATTTTTTTCATCGATGTCCCAAACAGCAAAAAACATAGACCATGACTCACACAAGAGCCATCTGGGCAACTTTCCGCACGCGGATTCTCTGCAAAATAGCCTGTGCACGGTTCTGCTGGCGGTATAGAGCAAGCCCGGATGACAAATCAGCACTGCTTAATGCTCTGCTAGAATCATCCCCAACAGATGGAGGCACTTCAGGCAAAAAGTCGATACCACCCAAATGCTGTGCCCACTTGTATGGCCTTGAATCCTTGTCGCTGAAGTTTGGAACCTCCCCAGCGTAAATCTTAGCCATCTGAGAAAATTGACAAGTCACTATTTCAGCTGAAGTGAATGAGAGGCCCCAAGAAGATACTAGATACAGATGTAGTAACAAAACATTTCACTGTTAAAATCGCACTAAATGCCTGTGAGGCAGACATAAACCAAAAACAGGTAGGTACATAAACAAACACCAGAACTTCCATAAGGATGGTGTGACTAGCAATCAAAACCATCTGTTTTGAATTAAATTACATACCTGGTGAGGCAGATCTAATCCAGTGTCATCTGGAAATAGGTTGCACAAGATATTACTGTCCAGAGCCTCTGAATCTTCAATTCCAACACAAACAACATTCAACTTTGCCAAGTATTCAAACCTCAGGGTGATGAGTTTACGGTGTTTGCTACCAGAATCTTCAGTATCATATACATGGAGGATAATTTTAAGTGGGTGAAGTTGATATGCCACTGCTGGATTATTAGCTTCCTTCACCACATTCTTTTTGGATCTTGACCTTCTTCTCTGAGCATCTTCTTCATCGTCAATCACATCATCATCCATTCTGTTGTCGCCATTTGAAAGAGTGCCTGCTACAAGATACATATGAGACACACTACATCAGCCAGATCTCCAAGCCAGCCATGATGCTGTAAGAACAGAAGATCCAGCAATTGGACACAGGATTACTTATCTCTAGTTTAAAACTTAGATGTAAGCAACTATGCACTACAAGAATGCTGTGGTCAGTTAGGAATATTAAAATAGACCACAGCCTTCAAGAAAAGTTTGCTAAAGATTGCTATGCAGCAATACTGAACACAAGCTGCTGGTTTACGTTAAAAGTCTCAAAGCACCAAGCCATCAACCTCTTTAAAGGGCGTACCCAGTGCAGAGAGCTCCCGCTTTGTGCGGGGTCTGGGGAAGGGTGTCAGTGGCAAGCCTTACCCTCGCCTGTGCAATGCGAGGAGACCGCGACTCGAACCCGGGACCTTCCGGTCACAGGCGGTAAGACTCTACCCAGTTACTTAAAAAAGGAATTTGTACAGACTGTACCATTGATCAGGGGTTCTTACAAGGACATCATTGACTCTCTACTTAAAAACAAGAATGGAGATGCACACAACAAAGGACTAAGCACAACGTCGCAAGGACACATCAGTACTGGGACACATAGCTGTGACATACTCATACTCCATCCTGTATTAATAGGCGCTTTAACAATTTTCACCAGGACCAAGACATCATTAACTCGCATTAATCCTATTCCTCACAGCCCGCAAAAACGCTTCGGTTTCAACCGGCTGCCAGCTTGCATGCCGCACAATCCAACTGTATGCATGTGTCGCCATGCTTAATGCAACGCCCATGCTCCCGCGATGGCCACAGACTCCCGCGCCACGAGCCGCTGGCCGGGTAAACGAGTCACAGTAACTGCATACGGGAAGAGTGGATGCAAGCGAACAGGAAACAAGGCATGCAACTGCATGCAAATAGGCAAATAGCTATTGCACCTGTGAATGCCGGATACTATTTCAGACCCAGTACGCCTGTGAATACTACTCCCTCCATCCCCTTTGACCAGGCGTGACAAGGCTCTGTTTACAGATACCAAGGACAACCTTCAATCACATGCAAATCGTATCAACTCGCGTAGTCATCTGTATCCCCGACCACGAAGTCTTAGGGCGTCTCCAATAATATAAGCTAGTACTAGCTCTAAGCTAGCAAACGTGGAAGAGAGAGCCAATAGCATTTATATCATATTGTGAGAGAGGGGCGTCGTGAAACGTGGGAGACTATCTCTTGACTCCACGCTAGCCTCTTGTCTTTTGCACTATTCAGAGAATAAAAAACTGATTCAGCTAGCTCTAAGCTAGACCATTGGGGACACTCTAACCGTCGTTCCATTTCTGCCCAGCAGTATACAAGCCACGTTTGCATCCACGCCTTCATTTAATGGACCAAAGGTGCCATTCCATGCATTTCACGCTGCGGCGCTGGGCTATTCGCATGCATGAGACGTTTCGGGTTTTGAGTGATCTAATTAAGTGCCCCCTCGATACTCCAGCCCGCCCAATATTATGGCCAAAATGAAAAACAAGAATACGCCTGGTATAACGGAAAGTAGGGAGTAGATGGAAGTAGTATCAAGCAAATGCGTACGTACCATTTTCCTTCTTGGCTTGCTGTTGAGCAAATATTTGGGCATCCTTTGTGCTTCCCGTGATCTCTATTTCAATATTCTCTCCAAATGCTTCTTTCTGCCCTAGCAACTGAGTGTATGCTATATAAAGCGGAGTAGGAAGCAACTCAGCAGCATGGTGCTGCTTTAGTTTCTTGGTATGTTGCATCCCCAACTGTTGCTGCACTGGCAATGATGCTTTCTTCAATGATTTCAAATGTGATGGAAGGCTTGAAAGGAACTTTTTCTGATTAGCAATTGTCTCCAGCATGGTGCTCCTCTGTTGTTCTAATTTCTCGTGTAGCTTGCATAACTCTTTCCTCTGATTCACAATTAAAAAAGAAATTAGAAGCCAGCAAGAAAATCATAGAAACAGCACAAATGAGAGAACACTAGCACCACCTCATAGGACATAGAACTACTCTTCCTAAGTTGTTCAAATTGTGTGCGGAAGCAAATGAAAGAAATAAAAAAAGGTGCAACACAAGGGCGAAAGAATGCATGTGACTGGATGGTGATCAACTTAAGACATGATAGCAAAAGCAATGGTAAACTACCTGAGCTGAATGAAGAATATATGTGCAGTCTTCTTATAAAATAGATTATAGAAAATGTCATTATGCTACAATTATTATTAGTTAATAGTGACACAAATAATGCAAATACTATAATAATAAGGGCAAAACTCAACTAACCTCCTATCCTAGGAATAAGATGTAAATTTTAAAAGGGGTTGAAGCACAGCATAATCTAATTCAGCAAAATATGTGTGATACAATCAGCTTGCCAAGCCAACAATAAGTTTGCCAGGTGACTGCAAATATTTTAGTATGCTAGGCTTAAAGTGGTATGTAATTTACCAACAACTCCCATAGCTCGCAATGCAGGCTGTTCATATTTAAGTCCCTCAAACAGGGAACCAAACAGAGCAGTAAATTGGCAACACGTAGAGTTCCATAGTTCCTACTGGGTTGGAACAGATAGCAATACGCAACCTGGACGAGCTCAAAGTTGAGGCGCTTGAGCATGACGTCGTGGGAGGCGTCGGCAGCGAGGGTCTTCTCAAGGATGTCTGCTGACGCGGAACGCTGGAACTCCTCCTCGGGCACAAGCTCTATCCCCGGATACTTCGTCTGAAAGTCAAGACACGCTCTAATGGCCTTCACGTAGTGGTTCTTCTCGTACAACAGGTTATGCAGCTGCAGTGTCGTGGAGTCCACCGGCGCCTTCGCGGCCTCCGTCTCCGCCTTGACCTTGTCCTCCTCCATCAGGATCTCCCTGTTCACCTGCGCGGATCAAACTCAACTTAGCACCGCAGATCTACAGGTAGGGTTTTGGGATGTGGTCTAGGGTTTTGGAGCGCGACGCCGACGTACTTGGCGTAGCGTGACGAGGAGCAGCGACATCTGAGTGACGAGCTCGCGGAGCTCCGACTTGGGGGCGCCGTCTTTCTTGATGGCGAGGATCCGGGCGGCGACCTTCTCGATGGAGGCGCGGGTCTCAGCGAGGAGGTCGTGCGGGGAGCGTGACTTGGTGGCCGAGGAGGTAGTCAGCGGCCTAGCCGGCGCATCGACGTCCATGGCTTCCGCCGTCAGAACCGCCGCCATCGGTTCGGCCGGCGCAGGGAGAGACGACGGCCGTGGTACGATGAAGTGGGTGAAGCGGAAGTGTGTGGGACCCGTCACCCGTCTAACCAAAAGGCGATCGTGCAGCTAGAGCTACGATATTTGGGCGGCTGGGCCGTTGATTCCTTAGACTAGTTAGGCCCAAATTGCAGCAACAGAGAGTGAGAAGAAGTTAGTTCTTCGCGTTTGGCCCATAATGGAGAAGATCTCGACCCACAGGCCCACAGTCTTTTTATAAAGAACTTTAGTTCTAGTTGTGGCTATTGCCGTTGCTAAAAAAAAAAAAAAGTTGTGGCTATTGCCACGAGCAGAAGTGCTGCTGCTGCACCCGTGAAGCTTCAGTGTACTACTCTTTATTTTGAGATCATGACTCTAATTGTGGGGCTCCTCTTGAACAGTTTCAACTGTTAATCTATAGCCGGGGTTCGTACTTCAACAGAAAATCTATCTACTTGCTATGCTAAAACCTGAGGACAGGAAAATGCTATAAACAGTTTGTAGTACCAGTTAATCCTGCGGTGTGACTTGAGATCCTGCTGAGCTTCCCTATATCCAGCTACGTGTCACTGCCCCTCACCCTGGCAGTGTAACAGAAGGCAGCCCAAGGAAGAGCAAGCGCGCCCGTACCAGAAGCACAAGAGTTTCTGGCCCAGTCTGGGACTGCAATGTGTGCACGGCCCAGGCCAAGATGCAAGCCTAGTGCCCATCTATATGTAATCAGTTTGAGAAAGCCAGAGGCATCAAGAGAAAACAGAACTCCGTATTCCTTTCTTACTTTCCAAGTTAATCATTCGTGGTAGCGTAGCTTAGTTTCCCTGTTCTTCTTCCTCGCCGGGGCGCTTACAACATGGTATCAAAGCCACCGTTCCTCGGCAACCGGCGAGCGCTGGATCCAGCGCCGCCTCCACATAGCCACTTTACCCGCTTCCAGAGAGCCCGGGGTGCCATGGAGCCGAACACCCGCACCATGTTCGATGAACTGCTGAAGCGGTTTGACGAGTTCGACAGCAAGTGGGAGAAGCGGTTCACGGTGGTGGAGGACGTGTAGCGCGAGCAGAACGACGCCATGGAGTCATGGACTGCGTCGCTGGAGGTGTTCTGCACGGCGCAGTACACCGCCGCTACCGTCGCCGACAACTGGGGAGGCCAGTTTGAGGAGCGCTTCGTCGAGCTGGAGCAGCGCGTCGGGAATTTGGAGCTCATTCGCATCACCGAGATCCATGACGAGCGCTACGACCGCGTCTTCGCCCTAGAGTCTGCTACCTCGGCTCTTTAGGGTTCCCTCACCAACATCCGCCAAGCGGTGGGACAACTCTCCAGGGCGGTGGCCGATTCCTCCCGGCGCCGTCTAGAGGAGCAGAGTTCGCCTGAGTTGGTTGTCGTGCGCCTATCTGCTAGAGAAACGACCAACTGGTCCAGCAGGCACCGTGTTGCCTCACCACCATGGGAGAAGGGCTACGGGTCGGTCACGACCATAGCCCGAACCCCGGTCAATGGTACGTACGAGCTCCCCCAACCTCCTCCTACTCATGATTTCCGAGGTGTTTATCCGCCGCCGTGAGTTTTGTAACACCCTCGGTGTTACGCCCTAAACAAACTACCAAATCATGTTATGAGCATCATATTTATGTGATAATGCATGCGATAGAGTGTGTAGATAAATTTCTTGTAGCCTAAAATGTGGTAGAACCGCTCGAAATAACACGCTTCCGGAGGCGCTCGTCTTCCGCTAGACACTGAGCACCCCGAAAGTGAGCTACACCAGATGGTTCCATCGAGCACACTCCAAGGGAGAACTCGAACAATCCTCGTTTTTCGTCCAGGATCTAATAATGAGAACAAGTTTACAATACTTAGTCCATTTCATACAACAAGAGTTTTTGGAAATATATTATTACAATACCAAGTTCAGAGTACGGAATTTAAATAGCGGAATTGAAATAAACATCTAACGATAAGATACAAGGATCCGTCTGTGCCCACCAGAAGAATCCTCCACACAACAGCCACTGCTCAAGCTGCACCTGCAATAGGGGTAAATAAACCCTGAGTACACAATGTAATCGTAAGACTTACCCAACTAGTGGGAATAATTTTTCGACTCCGAAGAATATGATAAGCTTTACGGTTTGATTGGTTTGTTTTTGCGAAAAGCATTACTAGTAGTGAATTTTTAGGTATGTGTTTTATTAGCAGTCATTATTAGTTCATTAGCTAACCATTCTATGTAAGCACATGTTCTACTTTCAAGCAAGAGTTGAGCAATCAGATCCATTTCACCATCTTTCATCTTTCAGTTATTACTACAGTGCTAGATCATAGACAAGTCATACCTGTAAGGGACCGTGACGCCTAAGAAAGGGGATAAATTAGGCAACTTAAAATTCTACTTCTAAACTATAGCCTATTTTTCTACCCTTAGCCAAACCTATGTAAAAGATAAACTATCTAAATGTGCAACTACGGTTTTGCTAGTATGTGTTGCTATTTCTACCGCAAAAGAAGTTATGCAACCTAGGTTCCAAACCTATCAACTAGTCTATCACTAAGCTAGGAAAGTAAAGCACGCACCAAGATTGCAATATAAGTGCGGAAGTTAAAGACTAAGGTAGAGATATGTAAACTCCCGTCGACGACTCCGGTATTTTTACCGAGGTATCGAGAAGCACGCAAGCTTTTCCCTAGTCCTTGTTGGAGCCCCTCGCAAGGGCCGAGCTCTCGGTCGGGTAACTCCGTGGATAGCCTCGGGCCTTCTCCACGTGCAAATGGGTCTCTGACATGCCTTTCGACAAGCCTCTCCCGGATGCTCCCTGCCGTCTTCACTATCAAGCTTTCGGCCAAAATGCCACGGGCCTTGTTCCCTTCGGTACACGGTGGCGGCCACACCACAAACGCGGTTGGTGTGATCTCGCAAGACTACAAGCCCCTCTGATGTACAACAATGGTGCGTGCAAGCACTGAGTGATAAGAGGTGTGCAAACCTCACTAAACACTAGGCCTAAACCTAGAGCAAGCGCATAAGCGGTGGTCTAATCAACCTAAGCACTTCGCAAAGCACCTACGCTAATTACTTAATGAATCACTAAGCACTATGCAAGTGGAGATCACTAAAATGGTGTATCAACACCCCTGGTATGTTTCCTCACTTCTCCACCCTCAAATGGTCGGTTGGGGGTCTATTTATAAGCCCCATGGAGAAAGTAGCCGTTGAGGGCGAAATCCAGCTTTCTACTACTGACCGGACGCTGCTGTCGTCCTGACCGGATGCGTCCGGTCGTGCTGGCGCCGCTCTGGAACCTCTCTAGACTCGATCGGATGCTGTACTTTGTGTGTCCGGTCGTCTAGTGCCGCTGTGTTCGTTCACGCTGAAAATATTGCCGTGACGAAGAACGATGTCATTGGTGCGTCCGGTCACTGCTTCACTCAGCGTCCGATCATAGTTGCTGACGCCTGCTGTTGCTGAGCAACTGATCGAACGCGTCCGGTCCCTATAAGGGTCGCGTCCAGTCACCTCTGCCGAGCTTGTTTCTTCGCGATCTTACGTCCGACTTGGTTCCCATCTTCGTGTTTGGACTATGCTTGATATCTTGGGTCTTCTCTTGTGCTTCTAGGGTCTTGCTTATTGTGTTGATCGTGGGATCATCATGTCGTCTTCGTCCAAGTCATGTCTTGCACCCTATTGAACTACAAAACAATTACTTACAAATTCATTAGTCCAATTTAGTCGTGTTGGTCATCAAACACCAAAATCCAAAGTAAATGGGCCAATGGTCCATTTTCCTTACAATCTCCCCCTTTTTGGTGATTGATGACAACACGACCAAAACAAGCAAATAATAAATTTTTTGGAATTTAAAAACTATCTACTTGCTAGGATGCAATGCAAAGGGCAAGGTTATATGATGCTAAAAGACACCACATGTAAACGTCTTTGGAAACTTATCTTGCCCTTGCAAATGTCCCCATATGGCATTATGGATTTAAGCCTCCCCCTAACTCCATAATCCACTATTCTCCCTTTCTCAGACCATTACCACTTGTAAATTATTATGATCGAGCTTGTTTTTTGTCCTACAAATTCTCATTCTTTGAAATCAAAAATCTAAAGACATTAGTAGCACAAAGGAGGGTGAAACTTTTTTATCCTTTGTATGTGGAGTGGAATAGGTCACAAAATTTGACTCTCACATTATATAGACTAAGCTCCCTCTAAATATATGCATACATATGATGGAGAATGAACTTTATGCATAATTAATAAATTAATGCTCAAAGGAGTTTAATCTATATAATGCATGGAGAAAGTATATAAATACCAAAGTGAAATCAACATGATGATATCGGTTTAGAAATACCACATGTAGAAATGAATTTGATTTATACCACTTGCAATAGGTGGTGGATATTTGAAGTATGATGCTTAACTTCGGGGACTCTATTTTCCTTGCGATGAGACTACTACACACATGATAAGCTTGAAAATGTGTTAGTCTCAAAGCATCCAACTTGTAGAGTAACCTCCCCCTAAATTTGTGCACACAAGTATGGAATACTTGTAGGAGACATGCACATTGATTTTAGAATAAAAAATACCACTTGAAAGATGACATCACATGAATGTGAGAATCATTTTCAAAAGTGATATTCGGGAGAAATTATCTACAATTTGGACTTTGGCACATATTAGATGAACAATTGTAAAACAAGCTATGTGCCGTGCTCCTAAACAATTTAAACCATGTAGGTTTGCTACAAGGGTTAAGAGTGAAACCGAGCAAGCCTACCATAAGATATACCTAGTGTATGTGTGACAAAAGATTTAAGCATGCAAATGTAAACCTAGGCATGAAAATAAACTAGATTCTAATTGAAATTGCAAGAAATTAAATCTAGTTACCTAACATGTGAAGGGAAATTTGGGTCCATAGTGTTCACTAACCCACTTGGCAATAACCTTTTCCATAATAATGCACCCCATGAAATGTACCCATACTTTGTTAAGTCTCCAAATTCCCCGAAGTCCATCGGACATCTCACTTCCCTTTCGGGATCCAAACCTTATTGATGCTCTTCATGTTGGAAATGATCTCCTTTGGCACCCAAATATGTTTGGCCCCATTGTTGGCTTGCTTGTTCACCTTGATGACCACCACCTTGTCATTTTTCTTCTTCTTCAAGAGATAAAGTGTGGAGGCCTTTTTATCCACCTTATTGGTGTAGGTGTTGGTGAGCTTGCTTGTTTGCTTTTTATTTTTATCTTTCTTCTTTTCTCCTCCCCCATTCTTCACCTTGCACTCATAGGACTTGTGGCCTTCCTTGTGGCATATGTAGCAAACCACGGTTTGTCCTTCATCAAGCTTCTTCACTCCCTTGATGGTGTTATCTTAATGAAGTTGGGCTTGCTCTGTCTTGCCTTTCACTTGAGTCAAGTCCTTGGTGAGGTGAGCCACTTCTTGCTTGAGTTGCTCATTCTCCATTGTGACCTCTTGTGTGCATGTTTCTACAATAACTTTCCTAACACAAACTTGGTTGTACAAGGGTGAGTATAAACATAAATCATTACAAGAAGTAGAGGCATCCTTTTTAGGCATGTCAAAAATTGAACCTTTATTTTTAGGTGCCTTGGTGGGGGTTGTACCGATGGCTTCAAGATTAGCAACTTTATTAGTTAGCTCATCACAATGTTTGTACATGGTTTCCATTTTAGCGAGCAAACTTTTATAATCATCTTGTGAGCTAGCTAACTTTTTCTTTAATTTTTCTTTTTTCTTTACAAGTTACTCATCATTGATTGTGCAATTATTTGTGTTTGCACTAGTCTCAAGTTGCTCAATTTTAGTAGATAGCTGCATATTAAGATTGACAAAAGTTTCATATTGTTCAAGCAAAGTAGCATAAGCTTGTTGTGAGCTATCTAGTTTTTCTTTTAATTTTTCAAGCTTCTTTTGTTGACTAATGTAAACTTTAGCAAAGTTAAGATTTTGTTGCACAATTTCATCACAAGAAGGTAGCTCATCATCACTATTACTATCATTGTCACTATCACTAGGGATAGGCTTTTTGTTACCTCGTGCCATAAGGCACACACGTGAGGTGCTTGATGATGAGTGCTTGTGCCCGTGCCTCTTGTGGCGGTCTTCTTCTTCACTTGAAGAATCGTCCCATGACCTTATTGATGTGAGGGCTTTGTCCTTGCACGCCTTCTTCTTTGTCTTGGGTGTGGCCTTGTTTGGACAAACTTCCACAAAATACCCTAACTCGCCGCATCCATAGCAT